ATATATAAAAGATTATACCTAATATATGTAATAACCCAAGATGCACCAGTGGCAGAACCACTTTTTACTTGTCCTTTTTCTTGCATTCAATCCCAAAACAAGCTTTATTGGAAGTAGGATAATGAATTAGGTGAGCAGGATAGCTGCTTTCACGAGTCTTCTGACTACTTTTTATCCTTATTTCCATTTTTTGTTTTCCTGTAAGAAGGAAAAAACAGTCCCTGAATTCTATATTCTGGGGTCAAAAAGCTACTCTGGGACCAAAATGAATTTAAATGGAGATCAATAATGAGGATAGTGATTTATGAATTAAATTAGAATCTCACTTAAGGATGCATCTTTCTTTGTTGAGACACTAACTTGAAAAGTTTTAAATCCATTTTATTGATACAGCTTTGGCATTTGAAATACAGCGTGACAGTTAATGACTAACTGTATTGTTCTAGCATTTTCAAATGCAAATTTTATTGGACTGCAAAACAGCAGAAGAGTGTAATCTGGGGGATCAGTTTAACTTTGCCCTCATGTATTAATAAATAAATAAATACATAAATCCCACTGACTTCAGTAGTACCAGTTTTCAGAAAAATAGTTGAAGAACTGGGTTCTGCATTAATTGTGTTTTGGGAAAGCTGTAATATGCTAAACAGGTGCAAACTTATGTATTAAACAATTGCAGCAGAAACATCTTCTTTATGTCTTGGAATCTGGGGTGTGTGGATTTTTTAATAATAGCTAGTCTTACCTTGTATATGACAGAAAGATTTTTATGCGTAGGTATAAATAATGCTGGATTGACGGACTTAGGTTTCAGCTGAGACAGTGAGATAAACTGCGTGAGTTTGATCCATATGGGTCACAGCTTACTTAACTTATACTGATGTTTAAATCATGCAAGGTGTTAAGAATTTTATATATGTATTATGAAAGCCTACCTGAAATTTGTTTCGGCCGTTTAAAGCTAATTTGCTTGGTGGCAAGGATTTTGTAATAACCATATCCAGAATTGCACCTTTTCCCATTTGACAATCCTGATGGTGTTGACTTAGAGGCACTTTTAAAGATTTACTGACATTGACTGATCAGCTATCAGAGAATGTTTCTGACATCTGAGTCACTGTTATAGACTAGATATGTGACAGGACAAAGTGTTTTTATGTTAACCAAGCAATGACAAATTGCTTTGGTACCACAGAAAAAGGGTAAGAACTCAAAAATTACCTACTTTGCATGCAGATTTTGTTCCAAGTTGTTTCTTTTCTTTTTGACAGATGGAGAAAGGCATTATAAAAACATTACTGAAGGGGGAAAGTAATTTGATTTTTGGTTTCCCCACACATGCCTCTAAAACAAGAAAGGATTTGATTCCAAGTCAAAGCTCATCAGAAGCCCTATTTATTTCCTCATTGATTGAGAACAGTAAATATTCCCTCAATATTATATTATTAAATAAACAGACCTGAACAAAAATTTTGCAAGGATGTGATGAACAGAATATCTAATTTTTGTTGTGCAATAATGGCCAATCCACCAGCAAAGTAAGAGAAAGAACATGCTCTCATATAATGATAGTCTATGTGGTATCATCTTCCAAATTCAAAGGTTGAGAAGACTAAAGTTTGTAGAACAAAGGTCTCTAAACTCTCTTATGCATACCACAGCTGGCTGAGTTAGGAGGACTGCAAAGGGGGATTATGAAGATTTCAGAAGCTATATAGTCTGCATACTCAACTGGCAGGACGTACCGAAAATGGAAGACTTATAGTCTTTTACTCATATATGACTTGGTTTTTATAATAAAAAGGTAAATTAGTGAACGCTTCTGTGCAGTAAAGCTATAAACCTGTGTACAGTTACTCATAGACTTGCAAAGACTGTAGTGCCATTACCACCTTCTCTCATAATTTACTTAAAACTAATGCAGCAATAATAATTCAAGCAGAAGTGTGTGTGTATGTTTTCTGTTTAGACTTTTAATTTGTATTTTAAACTATCTTTGCCATATACTGCCCCAAGTTCAAGAACATTTTGTAGTCTACTTGTGTGTTCCATGTGGTTCTCACAAAACCCACATTTGTGTAGTACACACTTAAATTATGCTTTGTGACGTCCTTGCTTTGTTGTCTTATCTATAGTTGATCCCTAGATAAATTAGACGGAAGAAAACCAAAAAAAAAAGGTCAAATACTCATTGGAAAGCTCTGGCATTACCTGCTGAAATTCTGTTATTGAAATCAAGTGGCGTTTTTGAGTGGTGGAACTAATGAACTTGAGTCACCTATGAATTTATGTTCTGTGGTTGCATTTTCTGGTGCATGAGATCCGACTGAAGCTTTTCCGATGTTTGAAGTATTGGCTCACAAGTCTTGTCTGGACTCAGAATAATTTACCAGTGACAAATTATGTTCTGCTAACACACCGTCTTGTACCAAAGCCTCAAGTTTTTCCCTCTAAGCCCCCAAAATACATAAACAGCCTGCTTGAAAATATTTCAGTGGTTTATTCCTTTCCCAGTGTACCTGAAGATCTGTGCTCCTCTGCTTTGGCTATGCTTGTGTGTCTCAAGTCTCTGTCCAGCCATGCATTCAGGTCCAGTGTGTCCTCTGCTGTTCAGTAGAAAAAACATGAATGTTACTGTCTGTCTAGTAGAGCGATAACACAGGTAACTTATTGTAAGTACTTTTAAAACTTTTTGCATTTTTCTTAATTTGCTTTCTATTTTCACTCAGTTTTGTTCTTTTTCTGAGGAAACAAGGTGCTAGGAAATTGCTCTACCCCTTTGTGTTCTCTTGATTGTGCTAATAAGCTTGTCAATTTTATCAAAATTTTACATATAATTAAGTTCCTACACTTTCTTTTTCTCAAATTGGTGAGCATGTAGGGAAGATATTATAACCATATTAACTGAGTTAAACTTAAGTGTGAGTACACGTCTTATCAGATACCAGACAATTGACAATGGCATGTCCTTATGCCCTAGTTATAGAAAAAGTTTCAGTCACGGGCAGGAGCATCTTGGACACTACTGCCAATGAATGAAGAAACTATACTTAGTCACTCCTGTGTACAAGGCTCTGTTTCTACCTTTTCTTATTAATGTTCCATCTGGGCTAAAATTCTTTTCCCTGCTTAGCAACTCCCAGCAACTGTGACCATCTTTGTTTTCCTTCCTGGCCTTTCCCTTCTCCTACACTGAGTTTCTCAGTCAGTCTTCATTTCCGTTCATTCCTGGAGTGAAGATTCTTTCTGCCTCTGGAGATGTAGAGTCCTGCCTTTTCTTCCAGCAGTTTAAGGGTTTGGTTTCTCTGTCCCAAGGTCTTCTCTTATATCTTCTCACTCCTCCTTCTCTCCACTGCCTGCAGACATTCTTCTTCTGCCCTGATCTTTTTCCTCTTGGAGGGTTTATTCTTAACAGTGCTTTATCTCTTTTTGCCCTCATCGAGGATTTCCCTTTTTTGCTGCGGATTTTCCCTTTTTCTTTTTGCCTTGTCCTTAGCTGGCACCGGATAATCCTTCTTCCCAATTCTGATAGTCCTAAGGAAGCTCTTTTTCAAACCCACCACCATCAAAGTGGAAGCCTCTGGCCCGAGAAGGACGGAAAGTATTGCCAGGAGGTGAGACAGGAAAGCTGCCTTCCCTGCATGGGGTGGGGGGAAGAGGCAGCCTCTTGTCCCCTCTGGCGGGCTGCAAGCCAGCGTGAGCTGAGATGGGGCCCTCGGCCTGCTCCATGGGGTCTCTTGTACCGGCTGCAGTGACACATCAAAGGGGTGTTGAGCAGCTCTCAGCTTCTCTTACCTGTTCTTTCTCCCTTTTCCTCTTCTCCACCTCTCTGACTTCACCCTGCTTTGCCTTCTCCTCCTTCCCCTTTCTCTTCTAGACTTGTTTAAACGTGTCCACTAACCACTTTCTTCTTGCATAACACTTTACTGAACCATTCTTCTTTAAAAATCCCATGATCTTAAAGCTTGCCTTTTTTGTGCCCTTTTTTCTGCCTTTTCTGTCCTTTTATTTGTTTTAACATGTAGAAGCCTGGTCTCTTTGAAGAGAAGGAACGGCTTGCAGATGAAAAAAAAAAATGACCTGTAATACTGTCAGTTTTCTTCTGGCACCTTTCCAATGCCTTTAGTGTAACTGAGGGGAAGTGACCGGTCTCTTTGGATAAGGCAGGCGGACCAGATCCTGGACACTGCTCCCCGGCTCAGCTGTGCTCAGGTGCGCCTCTTAGCTGGAAGAACTGCTCCGTTCTGCGTTCAGCTGAGCAGCAAAAATTGAACAAGGCTTTCTTCATCTCTTTATTGGTCCATCCGGACTTAGAGAGGATTGCCCCAATAACAGAGTTTATGAAAGGTGCCAACACCATCCTCTCTGATGACCTCCGCAATCCTTTGGCAGCCCAAGAAGGTAACAACGTTTGATTTAATCTGCAGACGATCTCTGTAACAGAACCCCAGCAACGTCTGTGCTGCTGCCTGTATGGCTGGCTCAGCGTCTCCTGTGGGGAATTTGTAGCATCCAGCCGCTGGCATCTTCTGGCGGAAGCTCAACCATTTGAAGAGAAGGGGAGGGAAAAAAAAAAAAAAATCCCGATCAGGATGTTTGCACATGCTGTTCTCTGCCTCCTCGCCTGGGTGTTCTGCTGAAGGATTGGGACATCTGCACAGGAGGGAGAGGGGCAGCGGCCGGAGCTTGCCCTGTTTGGGGCTGAAGTTCCTCCAGCGCTGTGGGGCTTTGAGCGCGTACGGCGCGCCGGGGGAGGCCAGCAGCAGGGACAGGACCGCACCACCCGGAGCGTACGCAGACAGACGCGATTAAAATATTCCAAGCCTAATGGCCTCTGGCATAAACAAGATTCATCAGCCTGGGACTTGCAATGGATCTAAAGGCGCTCGCAGCAGCTCGGCAGAGGAATGCAATCGGGAAATGCACATGAAAATGTGCAAGAAGATTGCCCAGCTCACTAAGGTAAGTCTCGCTGTTGCAGCCTCCCCAGGGAGGTGAGGCTGCCCTGGCCGGGGGCGGCGGGGCTGGCTCGGAGCTGCCTCCTCTGATGGCCCCTGTCTGAGAGCAGGGAAGGGAAGCCGGTCCTCTCTCAGAAGGTGGTCGCTGAAAACAGCGGTGTGCACAAACTTCCTTTCAAACAGTTCCCCCGCGGGTGCTACAGACCAACCTTAGCGGGTTGCCTTTGTGGCTGGCGATCGACGTCTCGCACTTAACCGCTCTAATTAGCGTGCAACAATAGCGAGAAGAGCTCAAGCTCTGCGAAGACAGAGGGTTTGTCTGTGTGCTGCTCGGAGGGATTGACGGTATCCGCTTTTTTCCCTGAATTACGAAGCCGGCAATTCATTTGCTTTTTATAGGTTCTCGAGTAATATTGTTGCAAATCTGCAGCCGAACTGTGGTATTAAAGTACTATATTACTTCTTGTCTTGTACTTAATTGTTCCTGATGTGCATAAGTAGAGGTACTTTAAATGACATTCGCTGGAACAGAGGCAGGACTAAATTACGTAGTATATTGTAGTAAAACTTTTAGTCAATACCGAGCTACACTACAAAATATTTTTAACATAACTTTCCACACCATGTTAAGAAAGAAGAGAAAATCTGTAGGAGGTGACAGTTATCTTTTAAGCTATTTTTATGCTGCACCTTTGTCAGTGAGAAAAAATATTTCCTGCCCTTGTTTACTAATCCAGCTTTTACATGTTCTGTAACCTCACTGCAATTGGTAAAGACATTTTAGCAATGAAAAAACACTGACTAAAAATACAGGTCAAACAATAGGCAATCATTAAGATGTTCAAGTTAGAATGGCTTACTAGTTAACAGCGCCATTATTCTCATCTAATGATAATTGTATGTGATAATGTATATCCTGTATGAATACATACACAGGTGCTACCTATATTTACACATATACTTGCTATATTATACTTACTGTACTATACCAATACTTACTTTACTGGTGCTTTGATTCCATGTTTGCATAATAGTATTTGTACACAGTCTGATCCTTACTTTTTGCCCATGAATGCACACATCACTCTTCAAGGTACATTTTCATTCTGTAGTAGTTGAAAGAAAACTATCCAAATAAACATCAAATTTTTTTTATTATTTTGAACACAGATAGATTTGAGCAATGAAATCTGTAAAAATTCTGAGAAGCACTTTCTGTTTATTGATAACATTCCTGATTCCTCAACCACAGTGAAATGTACATGAAAGATGACTGTAAATTAGATCAAGATGTCCTGAGTTGTTCCCTTGTTTTCTGTCTGGTAGTCACTTGTTATCTTTGATCAATTTTGCAAACTAAGTAAAATTTGTCCGTAAGTATCACTCAAAAAAAAATCACAGTGTTACCTTTTCTGATAGTAAAGCAGTAGCTGGGTCTCTGTTAATTGGTAGCTTATACTTCACAGTAACAAGAGTTGAGGAATCACCAGCTCCCTCTTTCTGGGTGTTCCGTTTCTCAACAGCAGGCTTAGAGCGTATTAATGAGATCTGTGCAAAGAAACACTTGTTCAATATTTTCAACTCTCAAGCTGAACTCATTTTCTGTAGAGATTTCTGTGCCTTCCTTTTTATATAAAGTGATTCTTTTTAAAGTCTCTCTAATCTCAACTCAATCTTTTGAGGAAAAAATATCTCATTCCTTTCTGAAAACTCATATTACTTTATAAAGTTTGTCTTTGGGTCGGGGAAGAAAGTTCTGCTATTTTAGCAGCAAAAGGGGGGGAAAAAAACCCTACTCCAGTACAAAGAATTATAGCAAAATTTTATTGCAGTGGGTTTTTTCAGATGCTTTTGCTAAATTTCTACTGTTAAAATGTGGGTGGGGTGATTACTTTTAATAGAATTTCCCCTCTGGATACTTTTCAGTCATCTGAAATAAAGATGATTTATACCTGAAGCTCAAAAAGGTACTTCTGAAAAGCAAATCATTCTGTTTTGGAATGTGGCCTTTAAGAACCAGTTTTCTCTGCAATAACACTACACTTACAGAGAACTCATGGCAGAATTGGAATTTTAATCATAAGCTTTCTCTCCTAAATTCTGGGTAGGCTAATGCTGTACTAACAGCAAACATCTGAGAAGCAAAATCTGAGACCAGATTAGGTGAAAAATGGCTGTATGGAAAATTTGTTATAATAATTTTTGGCATAGGAACTTTGAGGGCTCCCTTTTGAATCACTGTTTTCTTGGCTATATTACAGTTGGGATAATTCTAATAAAATGCCTTCTAACTTTAAATTGCCTGTAGTGCCTTCCTGTTTCTAGCCTAGTATGCAATACTGTTGCCTGTTGTTACACAGCTGCAACTTCCTGTCCCAGTGATGTTAGATTTTCATTGATGGGGAGGTAATGATCTAATTACCCATCCACTCTGCATTGTGCCAGGAGAAATGAATACAAAATGTTTAAATTAGGTGTAGGATACAGAGGTTGACTTACATTCTGGTTTTTGTTACACAGTCAGCAACGGCCTCCTCCTACTCTCAAAGGCGAAGGAGGGGCGTGCAAACGCATTTACAGCAGAACCAAACTGGGTGAGGTGATCGAGTTTCCATCGTTGCATGAAGTGCTGATTACATTGTAAGACATGGGTTGGTACAGGGAATCTCCCTAGGTAATCGGGACACAGAGATCCTGAAATCTGCTCCCATTCTACTGCCCCGCTATTTTTGCTTTTTGGCGACGTAGAATATGGTAAGTTTTCATACCTTCAGTCGTGCATTTTTCTGTTCTGCACCTTTTTGGCTGTAGCAGAAAAAATACAAACCTTTAGAAACACTTTGCTTTGGGCAGCAAGCTACTGCTTTTTGTAGCCCATTTATCAGTATTTTTAGATGCCTGGCCCGTCTCTCAAAGATTGACTTTTTCCACTGTTGACATGTAGAACGTACGTTGAGGTATCACAATGAGCAAAACCAGTGAGCATATTTGTAACCTCAGTCAGGCTCCCTGTTCTGCTCTGCCACCCTCTTTCTGCAAAAGTAAGGTGGTCTTTGCATTTCAAGGAAGAAGTGGCCACAGATCCTTCTTTACCATTAGACACCTGTCTTCCTGCATTTGAAGTACACTAATGAAAATATGGCAGGGTTTTATTATTAATTGTACAGTTTAGGTTCTGCTTTTAAAGCCTCAGCTCACAGTGCTAAATGAATATGTGGCACAACCAGGTTTTGTTTGAAAAATGTATATATATAAAAAAGGGTATATTAAAAAGTGCAAACTGAAATTTTTTGTTCCCATGGATGCAGGTAAAAAGTTTAAAAGCCCTGGTAAGATTAGTGAGTTTGGATGAGAGCTGTCTAGGCCTTCTGAATTTTGACCTTAAAATCAGATAACATTGCAGCTATTTCCAGATGAGCTATGCTTTGATTTATGAACTTATAGAAATTAAAACAGAAACATTCTGCTTGCAAATGGGAATGTCCATCTGTAGTTGTCATTCACATATACAAACAACACATTTAGCTGGTGCGTTCAAATTAATCGGGACTTGAAGTTAGTGTATCCTTATGATTGTAGCAGAATGCATGACTTTGTACCAGTAATTAAATTTAGACTTCTCCGTCAGACATTGGACCCTTGGCATGCTGTTTTGTGCTTGCCCGTTCTTTATATTTCCGATCTGTTTAGTAATAACATGGAGTTTAAAATGCATGGTGACTTTTATAAGACACTTTGGGTGTCACTCCCTACTGCCTCAAGCTACAGATTGCTAACATCGATTGGCTATTACAGGATTTTCATGTGCTCATGGATTCTCAGGACTGTCCCTTTTTACTTGAGATAGGATGAGAAATGCAAATGAACTCTTGAAGAGGAGTGCTGAGGAGAGTGGATCAGCTTTCACTGAAAAGGCAGTTGAGGCAGGGCTGGCAAGAACTAGATACACTGCAGCTATCCATGTTATTCAGGCTTCTTTTCAGACCTCTGCCAGTGGGGTTCAAACCAAACCTGCTGTTCTGGACTGCAGTTCTGGAACCAAGCCTATTATGAATGAGTTGGATGGTGACATTTACCTGGTGATCAGAGAGCTACCTAAGCTACAAAACGGTTGTTTCCTTCTTGGAGGCAAATTCCTGGATATAAATGGGGGAATGTTTTTAATGAGAGTAGACGGTTACTGTCAAACTAATTTCTCCCTAGGGGTTCATCTGACTCTGTATTGAGCATTTGGGAGCCTTGTACACATTTTCAATTGCAGTATTTCTGCTCAAGTAGATTGTTAGTCAAAAAATCAAGCAGTCTGGCAAGAATTTGGGGTATGTATACTGGATACTGTGAGTCTTAACAGAGGAAGAGAGTGCCTATGCAGGGAAAAGTTAATTGCTGGTAAAACACAATTAAGAACTATTTTCTCTCTCAGGGGAAAGATGTGTCGAAGGGGAGCAAGTGTGTTCCTCTTCTAGAAGCAGCAGCATAGGCGGATGTTCCTTAATGACTCCATCTGGAGCAGCTGAAAATGTTACATACTCTGGCTGCTTATCACCACCAGTCACCAGGAGGTTTATTGCCCCTCAGCTTGGTTAGCTGGGAAGAAAATATGAATTTTATTTAATAAGCTTCAGTGGAAAATCAGCCAGAGAAGCAAAACCCACTTTCATTAGTTATTTAGGGAAGGATGTCTGACTTTTGCACAGAAGTGTACGAGATATACGCTTATATTTAGTTCTATTAGCTTCACTCTATAGGTGGAAATTTACAGAAAAATTAGCAAGTGGCCTGGTATGTGTGCGAAGGCATAGAGACTGTTTACACCACTCCAGTGTTTTGCAGCATATATTAGATCTTTTAACCTTTCCTGTTTTATTTGCCATTTAAAAAAATGGCTGATAAGCTTGGGAATGAAATATGATCGAATTCTAATGGCTTACTGTGGAAGCACCTATCAGCTGAGCAACTGTAACTCCTCTTGCCTACTCATGTTTCAGGATGAAATATGTTGCC